CGAGTTGATTTCTGGCGTGACATTTTACTGCTTGCGCCACCAGAAACGTGCACGTGTGCTTGCCCAGCACAATAGAACAATCAAACACATATATTATTCTTATCACATGGCCGTAGTAGACGTGAAACGAATATTAAAAAGACAAACGTCAGCAACACTTTTCTTCGGTGGCGTCATTTCAATTTTTTCTAGAGTAGGATAATTTGTGTGCTATTCAGTGGCGTACTCACGAGGAGGGTTCATGGAGTTTATTAACCCCCCCCACCCCATTTGCCGTATTTTTTTAAAATTATTCCAATAGTTTAATAATAATTGATTATTGATTTTATTGATTATAATTTAGCGGTTTATACGTCATTAGTTACCAGTATCACGGTTACCTATCAAGTTGGATTGGAGCAAGACCATAGAATATGTTCTATAACACGACCGCGCTATCAATTTAACAATTTGGTGACAATTTGTGATAATGTGGTTTCTTAAAACAGTACAAAATTTGTAATTATTAAGGCAGAGAAGTTATAGGAGGTAAAATTGGAAAAATATGCACATAAAAAATTGAAAATATGCATTCAAATTCATTAAATATGCAAGATAATATGCACAAAAAAAAATTGAATTATATTATAGTAAAATAAAAAAATTAGATATAAAAGAAATATAAAAACCATTGTATTGCACAATTAATTTTGTTTTAAATATTTTCTACGTCGAATGATCGCCGATTGTTAGTATGGTTTTCTTCAATCTCGAATTTTGGATTTATCCTTAAAATAAATATTAAATATATTAATGCAAAAATAGTTTTAAAAACATTTTTCTCTCACCTGATAAATTATTGCATTGCACAACTAATGTTTTTTTAATATTTTCCACGTCGAATGATCGCCGATTGTCGGCCAGTATGGTTTTATACCGAGAAAAACTTCTTTCGACGTCTGTTGATGTTACTGGTGCATATTTATGAAATGTTAAATCATTTCCCGTTAGGTCTTCTGGTAAACCATCCATCGATGAACTTTCTCCATTCAAAATTTTTAAAATTTTTAATATTATTGCAAACCCAGAGTTTTTTTTCTAAAACTTGGTTAAATGTTGTATTTACTTTCATTCCAACGTCACCCGCTACTTCGTCCAATTTATTTTTTGTGAACATTACTGTTGTTACTGAATCAGTTAGTGATACACCTTGTGATTCTAATTTAGTTATGGTTGATGGTAAAAACCCATAATTTGAATGTATAACACACAATATAAGTCACTCGGTGACTCATATTACCAAAGTGCCGATTAACGTGTAGGGGTACGTCGAACCATTTCATAAATATAACGAATTTTACTTGGTACATAAGTACCCGTGTAGTACACGTCTCATTTTTCTGATCTTTAACATAACATGTCAATGGCTTTGTAAAATACGCACTTATATTTTGATGATATGCTAAATTTGGAATAGCTGAACTCTAGACTGTAGCAAATACACGAGTCCCCTCCAATAACGCCACTACATAACTTGACGGCTATACAAAGTACTCGAGTAAAATATTATTCAAGTATTCTCAAAGTACTCGAGTACGAAGTCAATTAGGATTGTGATTTTTTTCTTGTAATATTTGAATTTATGAATCGTTTAGAATCGAGTTCAGAAAAAAATAGTATTAGTAACTTTGTTCAATCATAATTGTGGCATAGTAAATTATTAAGAATTCCTGATAAAATTTTACTACTATTATTGGTAGTATTATTATCCATTAGACTAACATTCAGGGCACAATAAAAAAATGTATTACTGAAATTTCATCTTCATTGGAAAATATATTTTTAGTGCAATTATTTAAATCTAGTGATAGACGAAAATTCGAAAATTAAGTGATATTTGCAGAAATTATATTGGAATTAAAATGTTTAGAAGATGTTGGAATTGACATTTTGTATAAACTCAAAATTTATAAAATTAATTTTTATTTAGGTTTAATTTTTGGGATAACTTGGGATTACATTTAATACAAGGATTCAGTGAAAGTTTCATTGCAAAATGTCTTTGTCGTTTTTGCAAATCATCAAAATTTGAATGCAATCAAGTAAAACAAATTAATAGATTTATGAGAAATTAAATTTATTATAACTAGGATATTGTAATTAATAATTTAACTGATATTGGAATAAAAGAATTTTGTGTTTTCAATCAAATAAATTCTTTTCATTTAACCTTGAATTTTTTGGTTGATATTATACATGATATATTAGAAGGTATATGTAAATATGATATTGATGTAATGCTAAAAAAAATGATTTTGATTTTAATTATTTTACAATTGAAGCATTAAATAATAGAATTGTCAGAAATCATTTAACTATGAAACAATTGATATTTGTAACAGAATTCTTCTTTTATTCCCTGCTCTATTAAAAAATAGTATAATTAAGGTGTTTGCAAATGAAATGCTATTTTTTACAAAGTATTAAGCTTTAATTATAGGAGATTTAATTCCATTAAATTTAGAAATCTGGAATTTGTATATAAATCTTCGACAAATTATTAGTTTCTTTTAGAAAAAAGCATTAAATATGATGACATAAATCTTTGCTCAACTCTTATTACCGAACATCATGAAATGTATATGAAATTTATTAATACAAATTTGAAACCAAAATTTCATCACATGGTACATTACCCCATGATAATAAAGAAATTTGGTCCACTATCATTAATTTGGTCGATGAGGTTTGAGTTAAAACATAAACAACTCAATGATACAGCTAAATATTTAACTTATAGAAAAAATGTATGTTATACATTAGCCTTAAAACAGAATTTTGTCAAAAATAAAATTTTTCATAGCACAAAATTAGGACGTCATATATTAATAACACCACCAAAACTAAAAATCTATAATAATTCCGAATTGTTAACGAACAGTTTTAATTTTTTAATTGATAATTATCATTCTTTTCTTGGGTTAATTTTAAAGGTACAATATATAACTTCAACAATATGACCGTACTTATACAATTAAGTGATGATCCAAATATTTTACCGATCTTTGGTTTAGTATTATCATTATGTATTGCAAATGACATTTCAGAGAATCCGTTTGTAATATGCAATAATTTTGATGAACATTTGCAATCCTATAATGTGAGTTTAACTTCAAAATTAATATCTTGCTCACTAAATAGCTTAGATTGTAAAACGAACCTACTTTAAATTGTATTAAGCCTAATAAATTATATTTTATACCAAAATGATAAATATTATTTGTTTTGTTCATTAATTGTTTTAATAGCTAAACAATAAATTTAATTTAAATTAATTAGGTATGTCATTTTTTCTTGTAATGTATTTCATGTGTAATGTGTGTACATATTAATTTCATTATGTAATTATATAATAAATAAGTTTTATTTATAATTTGTTTTCTTGTTTATTTAATTTTTACCACTTTATTATTTTATAAGACTACAATAATATGGTATGTTTACTGAAATTATGTAGTAAGCAGAACTGATTTAGTTGCATTAGCATTTCACCATTTTTTTTTTTTTTTTTTTTTTTTTTAATGATTTTACCAGATAAAAATAAGTTAAATCAGCTGAATATGTAGTTAAAATGACTTCTAAATTTGGTAACATGAATTAAATTATTTAGTTAGAATTGCACATCTTTAAATTATTCTTTAAACCAAAATAAATGGTTGAAATTTAATTAAATAATAAGTAGTTGTGTTAACTAAAAACTTTTACCTATATGAGTTTAGATAAATATTAGTTTAATATATAATTTAATTAGATAATTAGTATAAGGAACCAAAAATATGGCTGTGCCATATTGAGTCAAATTTTACAGATAGACTAACTATAATTATAGTTGGACTTAATAATTTTTTTTTCCGTGTTTGTGTTCGTTTTTTTTGTCGTTTATATTTAATCCTAAATATTGAAACCCTTCTACCTTTTCAAAAATATATGAGTCTAATTGTAAATTTAGGTATTACTATCGTTTTGTGAGATAAACATATATTTTGTTTACTCCTGGTAAATTTCTAGACCATGACCTTGTCTGCTTCTAAGAGATTTTTTGTGGTTTGCTTTACCTTATTTCTGCAGCTTCCCAGGATGACTACATCATCTACATAGACAAGGGATGGTTTTCAACTATTTCCCTTTTTTTGAATTTCGTTGGCTGTTCTTACTACCCATTCAAGAGCAATATTGAACAACATTGGCGACAATGTGTCCCCTTGACGTAGGCCACATTTTACTTCGACGATTTATATCATAATTTAATGATTGAAAATTGTGTATTTATTTTCATTTAAAAATGTTATACGATGATCATGTCATTGACTATAGTAGTATTGTTACTATAATTTTTATAATTTATTATATTATCTTAACATATTACATTTATAATGTTGGTGTCTGGAATTTACATAAATCAAGTCATTGAATTTATATAATAATAACAAAATACTATACATAAATTTATTTATTGAATTACATAATATATTATTTACTCGAGAAATTGGCTATTATTTAAATTAGTTATCAATTCATATTAATGTATAATGTATACATTATTATGAGTTGATAGTCAATTTCTATTATTCGTATGATAAATATACGAACAACAGTTAATTATACATTTGATTAATAATATTAGAGTATACTATTGAACTAAATGAATTCTGAGGAGTGAAGTTGAACATTATTCGATACAAACAAGTAATGGTAGTACCTCGATCGTATTATTGCTTTATAGTGAAAATAATATTGTTCATTTTATTTGAAATCTCTTAAAACATATACATTTTTATATTCTACAAAAAAATATACGATATATAGATACATGTATCTTTATGTTATCAGATATAAGTTTAATTTTTTATAAACGAAACAATTTTTGTCCAGTCTGTACAAAAATAATAACTAAATATAATAAATTAAAGCTAAACATTTTGAACATTAATTGCATTTAACATAATAATTTTACTATTCGATTAAAAATTAGATTATATTATTTGTACTTAAAAATTAAATATTATAATTAACGTGTAATGAAAAATCAAACTCGTGGAACAAACATTAACGTACGTATAAAGTATGGACGACTCCAAATCGAAACATTAACCATGGTCAATGATTACAATAGACGCTTTTACTTCTAATTAAACAAATGAAAGTGTAATCATGATAATTATTGTTATATAAACAATTATCACGTTAAAAATAAATAAATTTCAATTGAGCTCAGTGTTGTTTTTTTATTCGTTTTTTTTTTCACTTATTATCATACGTCATAATATTATAATACTTATTACAGTGGCACAAGACCGTTTCTAGCAGTCGGGTTCCTAGTCATGTATATGTCCATGTCGTGATCGGTCCAATTGTCCGACGTGTCGCCGCAGTAATTGTTGAGGTTGTGATGGGATCCACTGTGGCTGTATCGGCTGGGTGGTCTATTTTGCGTGCCCTCCCGAGTCCTCGATCGTTGCCTAGGCTTGTTTCGCGAAGTGTTCGTGCGGGCACTGCCCGGATAACTGATGTGCGACATTCGCTCGGACACTGCTAACGACTGCCGCGATTGCCTTAACTCTGTATCAAACATGTGTCGTGTTATTATATTACGCCGGTGTGGTTAGGTTAGATCGTAGGTGCAATTAGGGATGGCTGGAGGGGCTAAGCCCCCTCGAAAACATACAAAGCCCCCCCAAAAAAAAACTATACAGAACCTTATATAATTATATTGATAAATTAAAAAAATTTATGTGATTGCTACTGAAAAAATGAATAAAATACATTTATTTTTATTTATTTTTAGTAACAATATTATAATCACGGTTTTAGTTACGTCGCTTTTTATCCAGTATTAGATATAATAATATGTTTAATGAAAGAAAGATTTTCTGAAGAGAGCATTCAAATTGCGACTTGTGTAGATAACTTATTAAAATTAAACTTTAAAAGATCATCATTATTTATAAATCAGTATAAGGTTTTTTTTTATTTAATTACTGTTTTTCATTAAACAATTGTATATTTGTATTTTACTTTACAGAATTTGTTTGAAGTCATCTCTAATGAATTAATGTGTGAGATGACTGTTTTGAAAAATATGGTAAAAAGAGTTTTTAACTCTTTAACCATTAAAGAAAATATATCTAAAGATACGTTCCCAAATCTTTATAAAATTATTAAATTGGCTATCACTATTCCAATCAGTCCGGCTACTTGTGAAAAGTAATTTTCTGCAATGAGAAGAATTAATAATTATCTCAGGTTTAATATGTCACAGGAACGGTTTTCAAAATACTTAATATTGAGAGCAAGGGCGTATCCAAAGGAGGGGTTCGGGTCCGAACCCTCCAATTAAAATTTCTACATACTCAACGATTTAATAGTAAATAGTATAATAATAGTATATAATGTATTTTAATTTCCCATTATCTTCAATATACAAAGTTTATAGATTGTATAATATAACATTTTTTTTTCCTGTTTTAACCAACGACGCCGCGAGAACTGCATGCGCAATGCTTTCGCGACGCCGCCTATATAATATACCTATAATGTATAAACCATACTATAATATATTAACAGTAATTTGTTGGTATTGAGTTAAACTATAATTATAATTAGAGAACAGATAAAATAAAAATTTTGGAGCTGAAGGCTCCCAAATTTTTTAATCTAATTGCGCCTATGGGTTAGGTAAATCACATTGACGAGAACAATAACTGATTTAACAGCCGCGTATTAATCATCATCGACCATTGATCGTTGTGCAAACGCCAAGAACTTACCCGGTCTTGAGTTGACGAGATCCGACGCGTACGCATTATTACCGCCCAAGTATCTCATGGAGTTGTTCGAAAAACTGTTCTGTGACTGACCGTCGGCGACCGACCGCATTTTCGGTGGTTTTGAACTAAAGTTTGAAATGTTGGAGTGTAAATCTTCATTGCAACCTAGAAAAAAGAAAACATGTTGAGCTTGGAGATTCTCCGTACAAAATACGAGTAACGATCAAGGCTAGATTATGGTCATAATATAACAGGAGAGGGGCTATTACTTTTGGCCAAGCCCTTTCACCCAAAAAAATTTTATTAACTTATTTAGATTTAGTAATTTCTAATAAATATTAATTAAAATAAGAATAGTATATTGTTGTATAGTCCCAATTATTTGGTAAAATAATACTTTTTATTTGTTAACCGACGATTATAAAACACAGTGTGGCCTCTTTCAACTTGTGGCCCTGAGTTATAGCAACCCTTAGCTCCCATCTCTTCGATCCAACCCTGGTTATAATACAATGTGTACCAGTGGTGTGTGGATCATTTTTTTTTTTTTTAATCTATTAAAGTATTCAAATTATCGTGAATAATATATTGATATATAATTAAATCATATCTCCTTATATATTGATATATATATATGTGTGTGTGTTGCATAATGATTAAAAATGAACTATTAGTAATATAATCTCTTGGATATTACATTTGAGATAAAATTTTGAACAACAAATGATCATTATAATTTGCAAATAAATTTTTTTAGTATTTCAGAAAAATGATCAAAAGTATTAATTGTATTTTAATTATTTATAAATATATCTCTTTCATAATTCACAATCACTCACACATATCATTTCTCATCTTCCAGATAACGCCGTATGTAATTGTAATACCCGAATTAGTTATATTTTCACATACATTTGTATGGTACCTACGACTTTGAAAAAATTGTGCGTGACTTATATATCTACTATAATTCAAAATAAAACACCGTTCATAAAAAATTCTCATCGTATTATCACTTTGGTCTATTGGCTGTTAAATGGCTGTTGGTCCGATAGCATAATAACGGTGGATAACAAACGTTTTGAAATAACTAACGATATTTAATAGGTACTAGTTTATGAAATTTACCATTATAATTTATAATAATTATAAAGTACAAAAAATGTGTTTACGGAGTAGGTATATTTAAATTGAAAATGTTTTACAAAACTAGTATCTCATTCTCATTTAAGGACATTGTAAATTTAGTGTTCAGGCATTTAGTCTATGTTGAAACTTGTAAAATACAAGATAGAAGAATTGTGTTTTGTGCTACAAAAACTTGAGTACATTTAAGCCTAATCATAACGCTTGATGTAAGAATAGTATAACTATTAAATTAACCAATAATGACTAGGTCATCAAAATAGGGGTTGTTGAATTATTTCTTTTATTCTACGAATATATAAGCTAAGAATTCTTATTTTATATATACGGGTGAAAATTGTTTTTCGCAATAAAACAAAATAAATATAACATATAATTGATAGAAAAACAAAAAGATCATACTGCCATAAGATGAAAAAAAAAAAAAATAATTTAATTGCATCTAATGGAATTGGTGAAAATACGAAAAAGTAAATTTTGATGGAAATGTGTTTCACCTATTTAAGTATTTAACTCATCATATTATATAATTGTGTCATATAACGTATGGTTCACTGGACACGATTATTATTTTGAAAGTAACAGATATTCATTTCTAAACAATAAATGTATTTATTTATTAATAATTCGCATCAGCTAGTACAGTGGTACCCTGGATTTTTTTTTGATGCAAGAAAAAACTAATATTTCAAGATCCAGTTAACTGTTATAAGGATTTCATTAATCATAAGAAAATATAGATGTCTATATGTATTGAGTAATTATAGCTTGAACTTTCACTGTGACTTTACCAACCATCAGACGTGAACAAATTCCTTGAAAATTATATTTTAACACGTCACTGATTTCCATTTATCAAAGTTAAATTTGGGCAAAGATCTAAGAGAGAGGGCCAAAAAACTTTAGCCCTCTCTTCTTTGGAGTGTTATATATAATGTAGTATGTAATAAATACTTATCAGTTATGTCTTTAATTGAAGATTGGTTAAAATACTAATAAATATATACATTTTTAATATTTTATAATTTTAAAATATATTATAAGTAATATAAATATGTATTTACTAAAATTATATATTTTGTTTTTCTGTAAGTACAAATTAGCCCTCCTATTTCATATTTCTAGATCTACCTCTAGCTTAAGTTAATTGTGTATCGCTTTATTATTATTTATCTCATGTCATGAAAACTCAAGATAAATGGTAATTTAATATTTATATTTATTTTAAATACTTTCTCGTACTGAGAAGTCGTACCCGAACAATTATTACACATTTTGTTTATTCTTCGAAATTGTCAACTTTTAGAAAATTGTTTATATATTTAATATGTATGGTACATTCAATAGTTTTCTAAGTTTTAACTTGACTTTAGGTATTTTAAAAAGTAAAAAAAAAAAAATATATATGGATCTTCGGCTAACTTAGAACTTAAAATCTAAACAAAAACGCATGTACTCGTAAACCACAGATAATTCCAAACATAAAACTTAAATAACGGGTTTGCGATTAGAAAATTATAGAAATCATGGCAGACTACGATAATGCCAAGAAGGCAAGACGTACATCAAATATTTTTAATATATTTTATGTTTGCATCGCATTAACGCCAATGTTTTCTGTGTACAATTAAAGATATATAGAACGGACTATGAATACGAAAGAAAAAAAAAATATGCAAATTTACGTTGAAAAATCAGGAAAATTCAAAATATATAAAATAAAATCGAATTGAATATCAGAGTTATAAAAAAAAAAAAAAACCGTGTGGCAAATGCGTCAAGTTGAGGGGGCCCTATGCGGATATTTTTACATCGAACATGGGTATGCCCCCTAAACAAAAATTATGTCATTTTGGCACACGGCTCAACGATCATCTTACCCTGTCTGGTGTCGGCCACACGGTACATCCGGGCCGGGTTCAGACTCCGGTTGCTGTACACTGACCCTTGGTCCCAGTCCTTGTGGCCGTTAAACGCGTTCAGGGCCGCCAGCGAGGGCATCTGGCTAGTGTTCGGTCCGGTGGCATAGCAGTTCATCGGTAACGTGCCGACGGGTACGCCGGACTTGGTCGGGTGACAAGGCGCGACCGAGTTGTGCAGCGCCTGGAGCTTTTTGGCGCGGCGCTTGCTGGCCGCTATGAACACGACGACGGCAATTAGCACCGTGCCGCATATGGCCGCGCTGGCCGCGATCGTGATCCGGTCCATGTTGCTGGTCGCCGTTACTGCCGTGCGGATTTCGCGACACTGGCTGTAAGGCACCGTATCCGGCGTCACATTAATCTCCTCCAGGGATATTACGCACACGATGATGCATTCCTGCGAACGACCGTCACGTTTTACATCGAGTAATTCATCCAACAGTGTTGCTCAAGGAGCATATTTTAATGTATAATGTACGTAGCACTAGTACTCCCTCTCCCAGGAATAGACGCAATTAGGGAGGGGCTGTAGGGGCTAAGCTCCCTTAAAAACAACCAAAGTCTCCCCAAAACCACACAGAACTTTATATTATTATATTGATAAATAAAAAAAAAATGATATGATTACTACTAAAAAAATTAAATTAAATTTTTATTTTTAAGTTTTACTTCCTTTCCGATAAGCACATTTTTCATTGAGGGTGAAGGGTGGAAAAAAAGTTTCTGAGAGCCAGTGATTGAAAAATATATTTTTTTACTCTAATTGCGCCCATGTCCCCAATGGTAATTGAATGCTACCCAGTGGTGGGTGATCGTCGTGTCACTAACCAACACTTTTTCATAACGAGCGTAATGACAGGAATTGATTTTTCTTGTATGTTTTTCTGATAGACATTTTTATTAAAGTGCCACCCAGTGAAAATTACTTAAAATATGTTCTGGTGTTGTCGACAGTGCGCGGCACGTAGTGGACGGGGTCGTGTATTTAGACGCGACATGCTTATGGACGCCGTTACGAGGAGCCCTCGAGTTTTCGTGAACTTTTTTTTCCTAGAATACAACTAATTTCATCGTACAAAAAATATACAAGCAGAGCGTAATATTTAAAAAAAAAAAAAAGTGAAAAACACAACGTTTTTCACTTCGTCTGAATTCTTAAATCAGGCCTTTGGCTTATACGGTGGACAGTTTTTTGGGTGCGGATTAACCCAAAATGTACGATTAGTATTACGCACGTTGATCGATCATATTAATCGGATCTATCCTTGCTTTATAAACCCGTCTTCCTTTCACATTCGAAATTAATTCTTTACGCGCCACCGTTGGACGGGTAACACTCACCTGGTACGGTACGTTTTTGATTTTGAACTCGCGTTCGCTGGTCTCCAATGGTGGGCCTTGCTTGAACGTGCGATCGCCAAAAAGCCGATACACCACTCGGAACCCTAGGATGTTGGCCGTTTCGGAATCCCATTGAATTATCACGGAGTTATCTTGTCGATGGACACTTCTAATAATGACTTCTTGGGCTTGTTTTTTCGGGTAACTGCCCATTATCAACGGTGGTTTCTGTGACGTCTGCGCCGCTTGCGGTCGCGTTATTACCATGTTTGTTTTACGGCTTGAATTCGTCGGTTTCGCCTAAAATCATAATTATACATTTCATGTTGATATTGTAAATCGGTAAAAAAATAACATCTTACATTTGTAGAATTTTGTATAGAATACTTAGTAGTCATGTCGATCGCAATTGTTGTACTCTCTGTAGTCGAAGAAATAGTTCTAGTAGTATCCATACTCGCTAACAATTCTGAGGGATTTGTAGATTTTACCACTTCAACTTCTGAGATTGGAGGATTTTTCTTTAACTTATTTTTCGAAACAGGGATTTCAGGTGAAATATTTGTCGGACTAACATATCCTACGCCTGTCCCAAGTGGACGTTGAGATTCAACGTTTTCTTCGTCTGGATTAGTTTCTAATATTGTCGACGCATCTGATGGACTTTGATCATTATCACACACCATTTCTGCAACATAAATATATTAAAACAATGATAAAAAACTATGATAAAAAATAAATTATTATTTTACCCGAAGGATCAATTTTGTAGAAATGTTTATTTTTAAGATACGCCGGAGTAGCACAAAACTGTGGATTTCTTTCTCTACTGGTCACTTGTAAATCTCCATTTTTTATCCATTCTATGACCCATCGAATCCGACAATCGCATTGTAAGTAGCGCCCTCCCAAACTAAGTCCGCGTAATGTAGTATTTAGGTGTGAAAATGCCTTTTTGGGAATAGTTTCGATAGGGTTTCCATCTAACGCTAATAAGGTTAAAGAAGGATTTTCTAGGAACGCGTCATTGGGTATTTCGGTGATAAGGTTAAAACCAAGATCTAACACTCTAAGTTCTGGTAATTTGCTAATGGCTGTAGTTGGATAATCGGTGAGTAAATTATTAAGCAAACTAAGTGAACTAAGAGTATCTTTGACACCATCAAATGTTGATTCTCCGAGTGACTGAATGACGTTTCTTTCCAAGTTTAGAGCTGTCAATGCTCCTAATCCTTGAAATACATGTCCAGCAGATCCCGGTAACTCACTTAAAATATTTTGAGCTAAATCTAAAAATGCTAAATTTTTTAAATTTCGTATACACTCCGGTAATGATTTCTGATTTGTTCCTTTTAGATTTAAGTTCTTCAAACTATTTTCGAGACCTCTAAATGCATTTTTAGATAACGTGAGATTATTATCTGCCAATTTAATCGTTTGTAAATTTTTTAAAGAGGCGAACGCATCATCTGAAACTCTAGAAATTCGATTTCTAGAAAGATCCAACAATGTCAAGTTGATCAGCCCTTCTAAACTACTTATTGGCACTTGGTCAATTTTATTGTCTTGTAAACTTAAATGTCTTAAATACGGTTCTAGTCCTTTAAACGCTCGCTGTGAAATAGATTGTATTTGACATCCAGATAATTGCAAATTGTGTATTTTAAGATTGGCAAAATTAGAATCATTAATAGTTTTTATTGAGCTATTATTTATATAAAGTAAATCTAAGGTTTCTTGTGAATATTTTTCAAGCGTTTGTAATAATGATTCGTAATTTACAAGATCACACTGCACTGATAATTCTTGAGCCATATTTACTGAACATATACAAGATGAATGTAATTCTGTGGCTGATTGATCGGCTTGCCACGGACATTGAGCCTGTGATTTGCTTATGCAAAGACATACCAAAAGGCATAGTAACCTAAAATAACCCCTGAAACAAAAATAAAAAACGAAAACCGTTAGATTAATATATTAACATGCATTTATAGTCCATAGACGTGATAATATAAATGTAGCAAGTATATGATATATATATTGTATTCAGTTGATAGTATATATATATACGAGTACAACAATAATATTTTTCATTGAAAATACTTTAACAAGTATTTAATTTTACATTTATATTTGAATTTAAATTTTTAGTTTTGTATGACAGAGAATAGATATCGGGGTGTTATCTATAGAATCTAAGAAAATTATTCAACTGAAAAGATTTCACTGTATGTATCTACAGCTTAATGAAATATTTTACAGTTTCTATTATATTATTTATGTATAAAATTTATAATAATTTATATTTTAGTCGTTAAACAAGGTGAAAGGATAATTTATTACCATTTATTGTACTTAATCATAATTTAATTAATTACACAAGCAATAATTTTCAAACCTAAATATTTATTATAATTTGTAAAATATATGTAATAAATCTTGTATTAAATAATACCTGTTTGTCTATTTTCGAACAAAAGTAAAAGATCTTTTCATTTAAGAATCATATTAATACTAATTAGGAGTAGCCAGTATAGCTAGTTTTCGAATTAGGAAAAAAGAGATATTTTAATCTTTGTGCGTTTCGATAACTCGAAGAAAAAATTTAATTATATATCTGAATAAACATAATTAAGATTATGTTGATGACGCCCACATCAAACGCCCACAGTTGATGACTCATGAAACATTATATTATGAAAAATAGTTGTAATTGGTAACATAATAAAAAATTATTGAAACAATTCATTAGTTTTATGCAACCTTGTTTTAACCTTAATTTTTTACTTTGATTTTTAGATTATCATTCGAAAATGAATGATATCAGAACTGAAAAATTCTTAATTTTGTGGGGATTATCTTCTATACACAATGAATTGCCTTTTAACACATTTAATCTACACTAATCTAAATGCCATAAGTTAAACTCAAGTAGTTTTAAAATACACGGTAGATATACGTAACTGTATTATATGCACTCAAGTTATGTATAAATAGGTTTTTAGTAGAAAAAAAAACAAATAAAATAAAAAACCGAATTCTCATGATCTTGTTTTATCGGAAAAGGTAAGCTTATTCAAAATATATTTAACATTTGGCTACTTCGTGTTTTGTTTATTAAATACAATTATTTTCATTTTATAAATCATACGCCATTTATTTGTAAAGTATACAAAATATTATCGAACAAATTTAATGCATACATTAATGTAAATTTTAATTTATATATGTACTATAATAGGTAGTTAATATATACAATATTATATACTGATAGATATAACGAAATATAACGACCAAAATTCATCAAAAACATTGGTGACTTTCGAATTACCTCCCAAAGTCAGGTAAGTGACCTTTTTTCACTCGAATTTACTCAGGAGGCAATTCGAGTATACCCAAACCATTCACTCGAATTGCCTCCATAGAATACCTTGATTATTAATTAATATATCGATAGCTGACGTGTAGATAGGTACTACCGATTATTTGATCGTTTTCCGTAATGTTTAAAAATATTATTTTTATGACATACAGTATTTCTCAGACAGATTAATTTGTTGATTGCAATAATCTTATCGTAATTAATTATCAGTTAAAGATTAGTTGACTATGGTATTCAATACCACTAGTTCAATATTGTCAGTTTCGTTTGCGCAACCGTTATGTGTATAATAACGTTAAAACACTTTTATTTTATTTTATACGGACATACACAATATTGAACATTTTATAAAAAAATGAATGTGAATAGTGAGAAAAGAAAAACAATTTTAGTTGTGGACAGTGCTTGATTTGGCAAAATTAAAGAAGGGGGACTCTGTTTGCTTAAAAAAAAATTGCATCCCCAAAACTTGTTAAGCATTCTAATTATAACGTATAAACACGTTCACGAAAACGAATGTTTAGGCATATGATAAAGTATTGCGTATTTAAAAAGTATATATATCTCATAAATAGTAGTCAATTTTTTTTTTCGTATACAACCTGTAGGAGGACACTAAAATTTCTAAAAATTAGAAGGATTACTCCGTCCCCCTGCGTCCCCCCTAAAGTCGAGCACTGATTGTGGATGGATTTAAGTTTGGGTTCCAAAAGAACTTGGTTAACGACATCAAACGATGGACATGTACAAAAAAAAAAAATTTTTCCGAATTTCAATTCTTAGAATTATTGGCAAATAAATGTAAACTTCGGAAAAATACAAAAAGCCTAATTTAAATTTTTGACTTTAAACGTATTGATATTTATTTACTGTTTTTTATTATTATTTATGACTGCTGTATTTTTGCTGTAAAACATAATGCTATTTTATATAATTTATTTTTTTATAAATTGATTTTTAACAATTTTAATTTATGACAACTATTTATTAACTTTAATTGACATTAAATCTATTAACTTATTACCTAATTTATTTAAGATTATAACTGCAGTCGTGTACCTAAAACCTATGTATAATTATCTTTAGTTTTAAAAAAATCGAAATAGAAATTGATTCCTATGCAAAAAGGTCACTACCTAAAATAGGAGACTATTGAATGAATAATATTTTTTAAATCGGGAGGTAATTCGAGTAACCTTTTTTAAAAAAAATTTATGGGAGGCAATTCGTGTGTGACAAAAAAATTTTACATTTGTTAATGAAAATTGTCATATAAAAAGAAGTATCAATGAAAAGATAATATTTAGAATACATCAAAAAGCAAGTTTAAGTAAACCAAATCTAGTATAGTGATCAGTTATCATACATTTTAGAGATTCTTTTGAAAAAAAAAAGTTAAATAGTAATGTTTTTTTTTTTTTTTAATTTTTTTAATATTTATATTATTTATGTTGATTTTATTTGGTTGTATATACAATAATAATAATTTATCTGGTTTCACTGCAGTTTTTAATAAACGAATTATTTTATTTTTAAATTTATAGGAAGTAGATATTTATATTCAATATGAATTGGTCTGTGTTAAAATTATAAAATAATCATTTGAAAATAATTGATTTAAACTATTTTGAATGAATTGTGTTATTGTTGGACAACTGCAGAAGGCCATAAAATTCATTGTATTTATAGACAATCACAACAGAGCTGAACATTATACCTAAGTACCATAAACATTGTAATTTTTATGTAGATAGTGAAAGGAAAAATATTCTTATAATGAAATCGAGAGAAGATTCCATTTTCAGAAAAGAAGATTGAAATCAATTTAATAGTTCCAATAATTATGTAATTATTTCAGAATTTATCTGTACCGAGAACTCAAATTCAATTAGATTTTATATTTTGTGAAAATGAAGTATTATTATATTACTTGAATATTTTACTTTCATGATTTAATAATAAAATGAGTTTGATTAATAATTACTTGATGGTTGTTTTGAATATATCTACTTTATAAGTTACCTTATTTAGGTTTATTAAACAAATATATATAATATTATGTTATATTTCCGATCGGAGAAAAATTGGATATGAATAAAATATTATTTTTTATGTAAACGAAAATTAAGTGTTTTAATATATTAAAATAAATGAGATTTAATATATTAGGTTATGTGTGTTTTTTTTAAAATAAATTACATGGTGAATTAAGCGTGATAATCATTAATATTTTTTACAAGCATGAATATTGGTGTTTTTTCAGTTCTGAACATGTCCGTCTATAAACGAGAAATAAAGCTAAGATCATTTTCATTCGCGAACGGGTTTTAAACATGCTCTGGACAGTTACCATCAAGTGGATAAACGATGATTCTGATAATTAAGACCGTTAGGTCTCTGACCGTTGTATATCGCGTATTTGTAAACTATCGATTTCCTATCGGCTACCAAGAGAACACGCATTATTACACGAAACGCATTAGTTTCAAAAATGTTACATGAACTCTTTTTGTAGTACTATACACCTATATAAATATTAGTTATAGATATATTTATGTACCTAAAATATCTATTGTACAATATGCTCATACAATTATGAAAATAACATTTCAAGAAAACAATGAAGTACTATTAAATGTATGAATAATTTATTAGAAAATTATTAATTATTACAAATAAATACGAAAATAATTTTCAATCGTATTATTTCGTTTTACTTTTATCCTCGGTGCGAAAGAAGTCATAAATATTTATTTACACATCAATAACACTCAAACCAAGAACTTTTATTTTTATACATTGTATTTTATTTTATTGATATTATTTGTAGTATAAAATAATTTGTTATAAATTATTTATGTGTTTAATTATATTTTACTATTGTTTTGAAACTATTAACCGCCAGAAAACAATTTTATTTTTTTCATAAAATACGATCCAATGCATTGGATAGAGATGGTCTACGTTATATGTTTATGCAAGTCATAGTATTATCAATGAATAAACATATTTTGTACGAACCACCGAGACGATACTATCTATCTATAGCAAAATTGTACCTAATAGCAATTCTCCCACAAAATGATTATGCATAGATGCATACTATGTTCTAGTATTACCTTCGATATCGCGTTTCAGGGTTGAATCGATTTCATAAAAATATTCAAAAACGATTTTCAACTTCCGCAATGATGGACAATGTAATTTAAACAAAACAGAGACGAGTTTTGCATTCAAAAAAATTATTGTTACAGAACTTATTATACAAATTAATGGATAATAATCGTGACAAAAAAAAAAAAATTGGAAAGCTATAACTGTAACCACATTTTACAATAATAATAATATTATTCAAATAGACGTCACAATTATGGTAGCGACTAAACGATATTATAACACAAATTCATAACTGTTTACATACAACAGGAAACGTAAATTGTACGCGAAATCGTACACTATAAGGGAACAATATTTTTCACCGTATGAACGTCCGATGCGATTCCGAAACGAAAAGCAGTCTGTAAATTATTTTTTAAAAATACATCCACACAAAA